AAGAAACGAGTCCATAACTGTGTACAGTGTCTACCGTTCGATAAAGACAAATATATCTCTTCGTTTACACCTTTTAATCGAACTCATTTTTAGACTTTCTCTAGAAACTCATCTTAGTCCAACCAAGACAAAATACTCTTTTCTAAAAACCTTTAGTTTTATTTAAAAATTTAATAAAAATTTTCTCTACTTTGCATCTGTTCAATTTCATCTGAGTGTGTATATTGTCACAATATTCGTCGGTACACCTACGTCCACTATTATATTTACACATTTCAAATTACTTTTCTTCGACGGGCCTTCTTTTTTCACGAGTTCCTCTTGTTTTCTGATTGTTATTGCTTGTAATCATCAGTCGTTTCAATCACGCTGATTCATCACCAACCTTTTCAGTTGCCCATATTATCAATTCTTTTATTCTTTCTATGTACATTTTTTTCTTTTTTTCTGCCTTTTGACAGTGGTCAGAGGTACATATACTCTTCTTGTACATGTTACGCGCAGCTATCCATATGTTTTGCCTTGTGTTCATCTGCTCCCTCGTTATCTCTTACCTCACCCCGACATAGTCATGCTTCCCTTTTTCTTGTGGAACTCACATATTTTATGAAGAAAAATAAAGGGTGTAAGTTTTAAGATGAGACTTTCCGACTCCCCCTACCTCCTATTGTGCATAGCAACCACGGTGAAAGATCAGCGAGTACATTTTCATAGCAATCTATGAGAGGGGTGTTTCACAGATTATTGGATCCATTTCCTTTAGCGACAGAGGAAGGGGAGCTTCAAGTTCCAAAGCTTAACAGATACTTTTCTCTTGCAACCGATTATACTTGATTGTGTTCTAGCTTATACGGAATATCTGGGTTTCACATTTTATCCCTGATGGAGCTGCGCTGACAAGCTTTTTATAATGTATTGCTCTTGGTCCCCTTTCTATTTGTATTATACTCTTCTCTTATTTTTAAATGTATATTGACCACTCTGTTCTCCGTTTCCTTCTTATGACACTATCCTTCTGTGTTCATGTTCTTATCTCTTCACTTTGAGGTGCTATTTTTCTCCCTGCTTGTCCTTCGTTCATGGTCTCATCATTTCACTTTGCATTGTTCTCTATCTCCTTTTCTCGCGCTCTCCACCGATCACCTGCCATCGGCATCATCTGATTGCCACTTAATCGTGTTGCTTGATAAGCCAGTTACTCACTCCTGTGCCAATCTCTATGCCAAGCGATACACATCTATCTTGAAGTATATGAATATTATTTATACGACGTTCTCTCGATCACAATAAGTATAACACATAAACGATCAAATGTTTCTGAAAGAAAAACCACAGCAATACACAGTCGTCCATAATACGAAATCGAAATACATCAATCCATTATCATGTTGATCTCAATTCGATTTACCAGCGATCAAAATTGAAAACAATAAATATACTACTAGCGAGAGTTTTGCATCATGTCGAGGTTGCCATAAGACATATGCATATATTCATGGATCTGCAAAGCCACTGGTTGACCAGAAATGTCCAAAGGAACAGTTGACATCGACGCTTTCATTTATTTCTAACTTGCCACTTGCTTTATCTAGTCTCACTTCGCTGACTAGTCTTAATCATATTAATTCTAATCAGTCTAATTGTGGAAATGTACGGGTGATTAGGATTGTTGAAGATGAAGATTTCCTAATTGTCACTCAACAATGTCTTAACTGAAGTTGTGGTAAGTAAACTTAAAATTTGTCATTCATCTTTCAATGTCTTCATTTCAATGTTTGCAGAGTCATTTCTCAGCCGTATAAATGCGAATGATATTGTACCATCGAGACCCATAATTACCCAATAAATTGAACGACAAGCAAGCGAAGTTCGTGAATAGCTCAAGATTTAATTGATCCAAGCAGCAAAAGAAGGAACGCTTTAAATTAGCTCAGATATGTGGAGCGACAGGTTCAAACAGAAAATTATTATTTTGAATTAACAGCTCATTTCGTCAATAGTAATTGTAAGCTACACACAGCCGATCATCTCTTGTGAACTGTATATTGAAATCGACAAGCACGTTCATAGTATTTCGTAGGTATATAACAAAAATCTGCTCTGATCTATATATGCTTTTTTACTTCGACTCTGTCTCTCTCTCTCACAATAGACAATCACAGCAGCTCTCAAACGTTTTCGATTCGACATTGCAATTCATCATATTAATTTTGTATTAGATCAAGGCGGCAACTTTATCAAAGCCTTAGATGATAATAATTTGGCTTAATGATGTTGCTCATGTCTTTAATAATATGTTCGAATGGCCGTTCTATAGGATCGGTACTCATGAAAATATACTTAAAGAGAAAAAAAGAGGCAAGAAAGAAGGAGAATTATCAATTCACATCAATTGCATTGAACAGTGATAGTAATCTTTTACCAGATTACGATGATCATGATTCAGACGAGAGCGATACTAATGGTGACATTTTTTTTATGCTAAATATATTGAGTTAGCACTTTGAAGTTTGTCTTCATCCATACTCAAACTGGTCTGATTAATGCTCTTGAGCACGATCTGGCGATTCATGCTAACCACATGCCGTATTCAATCACACAATGTAAACCATTGTGTTGCTAGGTTAAATGCGTAAGTTTTTCTCGTCAATTGTCTTGTCACATCATATTATTTTGATACTATCTGGTTGGCCTAGGTCAGTTTAAATCAAATGCCACAAGAAAGACGGAAAAACAATAAAATAAGAAGTTATTATACAATGACTCAGTATGTCTCAACTACTTGAAAGTATCATTTTATAATATTCGACACTCACAACAATTGTCGATGAAACAAGTATTCTTCACATGTTACCTTCGGTCGATGTTACCACTGTTGTTAGTCTTGTGACATTCTTGATAGCATGGGAAAATGTCATGACGCGAGTGCAAACAATGGTCAAGCCATCCTTTCATCTCGTCGTCACGTCGTATGGATGTCTAATCAAAAAATTAGCTGTTATTAAGGCAGAAGCAGCCAACAATGCATTGTGAAAGATAGAGAACAATTAGATTAAGAGCTGATGACTGAGTAATTGACTTTTATATAATTTTCTGTAGCTTTTTTCTTTTTCAAAACATCTGCTTGACAATTGCTGAAGGCAATATTCATTTGATCTACTTTCTTACAAAACAAATTGAAGTTTTCAGAATAAAAAAGGTATGTTCACGAAATAATTTGGTCTACGTGCATTGGCTAGTAATTGATAAGAACATGTTGAACATGTGTGTTCTATCGTTCGAGATGTCAATCGTCAATGACTATTGCGATATGTTAAGAGGACTATGGCTCAGCTGGCTTTTGAATTGCCTAACCATTAGAAGAGCTTCTCTGAGTGTTGCTCCAGTGCTGGAAAAATCCCATATACACTGCTGCATGGAACTAACCAATGTTATTTCATTTTGAAGTAACAGGAGTGCGAATAAAGTGTTTGACTTTCACAAAAAATAACCTATCAATTCAACTTCCCTTATTCCACAAAAAAGGACAATGAATTCAAACTAAAGTATTGGGTGTGGATGTAGTAGTGACGCGGAAGAGAAGAGCAACACACACCCACACCCACACCCACACCCACATCCACACCCACACCCACACCCACACCCACACCCACACCCACCCACACCCACATCCACACCCACCCACCCACCCACACACCCACACCCACACCCACCCAAAATACATGTGCGAAGTTTAGGTAAGAAGAAAACAGCCGAAAGAATATTGTTACTAGTTCGGTCATCCATACATCGAATATTCAAATATTCAAGATGGACGAATTGTCGAAGAATCCAAAAAAATGGAATCGTGAGTGTAACTATCTACGTTAATTGTGAGTGATTGAAGATCTTCGATGAGATGGAGCACATGCAAAAGAACAAAGTGATGCACATCCTTATCATATTTGTTACCATTCAACGATTGAATGTTCTCGATAGGAATGTGAGGAAAGCCAATTTGGCTTTTTCTTACATAAACATGAACTTGCAGTTGAGATGAGCAAAGAATCGAATTGAAGAATGTGTTGAGATTTCCAAAGGCTTTGACAAGATCATAACCTTTCAAATAGGAAAATATAATCAACAACAATTCTACTGGTAAATGTTCAATACATGACGATAGTACCGTTTTGTTTATTGCCGTGTCACTCATATTGGTGTACCGTCTGTCTATTTTCTGCTTTTCACAATGTTTAGTGCACAATACTAATTATTTGATATTCTTATGTGAGGGTGGGTGTGGGTGTGAGTGTGAGTGTGGGTCTGGGTCTGGGATGTGTCTGTGACTGTTCATTTCTCTTTATACTCACACTCACACCCATACCCTCACGTCTCTCGTGCACTCCCCTATGACTGTCACAGAAGTCTGATTTTTTTCTGATCGAATTCAATTGGTTTCCATTCGTTATACCCCATTTTTGAGTCATTTTCTATGCAAGAAGTCTAAAGCAACGTAAGAATCAATAGAATTTAAATCATCCTGTAGGATTGATACCAACAGACTAAAAGATAGAAACAAAATAAGATAGGGAAACAATAAACTTTTACAATAATTATATTAAAGTACAAAAGAAACATTCCTGCGATTTTCAATAAAATATTAAGGGCAAAGGTTCATACTAGGCTACTTCTCTAAGAATTAGTATATAGTATATGCGGTTCAAATATGAGATCTGACTATCGATCTATTAGGAAAAAATTGTAAAAAATTCGATGTTTCCTTACTTTATTTACTTACTTTTAGGCCATGCTGTATTTGCAATTACTACTCAGTGGGGTGTGGGTGTGATTGGATGTGGGTATGGGTGAAGGGTGTCTCTGTTTATAAGAACACAACAGTCACACCCACATACACCCCATATTTCTTGGACCTTAAAGCTTATCTAATCAATGTTTATTCAAAGGAGAGACATGTATTAATAAAGTGAAAACGAAAGCAAAGAATCCTAACATTTCAAGTGTCAAAGAAGACGTCGGAATTTTTGTACGCGGTGATTAGCAGTGTCGGAAACATACAAATTAAGTGATGCATCTAAGGCAAGTCCTACTGGATATTTGAGCGTGTTAATTGTCTGTCCTGATGAGCCGGTGCCAGCAATAGTACGTGCAGTTGTAGTAGCTGTTGGGTATTGGCAGAAGAGTTGAATACGATGGTTATTGTTGTCTACGACGAACATATTGGTATAATTATCAAGTTTAATCGCAGTAGGAGCTCTGAGTAAACTTGAACTGCTACCACCATTCCCATCAGTACCTGCTACTATTATACCCGTTGTAGCATTTACTGGCCATTTTACTATTGTATGCCTGTCTGAATTTGCAATGTAAACAGTACCTATGGCGATCGATGTATCAACTGCAAAACCTTGTGGCATCTTAAGCGGATTCCCACCGTTATTTGTCCATTGATTGCTTGCTACTTCTGATCCGTTGTTCCAGACAATATTGTTATCACGATCACAAGCATAGATAGATTGATTAACGACTTGAACTCCCCACATTGAACCAGCAGAAGTCCAACTTGATGAAACTGTCGATCCTATTGTACTACCTTTCGGAAAAAACTGTATACGTTCATTGCCAGAATCAGCAACATAAATATTTTCCGATGAATCAGTAAAGACATCTCTCGGCATATTGAGAAGAGTTGATGATGAACCCAGTGTGCCAGAAGTACCGGCAACTGTTGTACCGTTTGTTGCTCCTGGTAGCCATTTCTGAATACGATGATTTCCCGAGTCAGCAATATAAAGATTATTAGTTACTGGATCAACATAAATATTCCGTGGTTCATTTAATTTGTCGGGTGTGCTACCTAGTGAACCAGTAACCCCAGCTACTGTTTCACCATTTGTATTCCATAACCAATCTACACCTAAAACAATAATTAGGAAAAACATCGTTTGAATTCATATTCGAGTAGATATATTTCAACAAACGAACATGTCGGAGTAGGAGTGGTAGTTGTTGTTGATGTTGTCGGCGTAGTTGTAGTGCTAGTTGTTGTCGTAGTTGTAGTGCTAGTTGTTGTCGTAGTTGAGGTCGCCGTCGTCGATGTGGTTGTAGTAGTAGTTGATGTAGAGGTTGTCGATGTAGTTGTAGTGCTAGTTGTTGTCGTAGTTGAGGTCGCAGTCGTCGATGTAGTTGTAGTGCTAGTTGTTGTCGTAGTTGAGGTCGCAGTCGTCGATGTAGTTGTAGTAGTAGTTGATGTAGAGGTCGTTGATGTAGTTGTAGTCGTAGTTGTCGTTGATGTGCCTGTAGTTGTAGTTGATGTAGCAGTTGTTACTGATGTGGTAGTGGTAGTAGAACCTATTAAATTGTTTATAGAAGCTTATGTATTAAAGTCCAAGAAAACAAAACCATGTAACATAGTCGTTCTTCTCATACCTGTACTTGATAAACTGCTAATTGTTCTTTCTGATGTTAACCAAAGTGTGATTATAACAGCTAATGCTAATCCAGCTAATAGAGAACCAAGTAAAAACCCTCGACACCAGCATGAACACCAATGAAAAGATCCAAAGCTCCTTTATTGAATGAAGATAGTTATATTAATCTTAGAATAAATATGTGAAAACTATTGGATTGAATCAAGATATGTGGGTGTGATTGTGTCACATCCTCAAAACTCCGTCTACAAACTTACGTAGAACTTATATCAAGGGGGAAAAAGCGGATTGTGGTATCCAGCTATCCTCCGTATCCCCATTGTATCCTGTGTATCCTGATCGCATCCCGAATACGAGGATCCCTCATATCCGGGATACGATTAGGATATCGCGGGAATACGGCGAGTATACAGAGGATACGATGGAAATACGGAGGATACAACGGGGATACGTAGGGTACAATGAAAATACGAAGGATATAATGGATTACAGAGAATATGATAGAAATACGAAAGAAATGAAAAGGATACCAAGAATACCATGATCCACTTTTTCTTCTTGATGGAAAATGATGGCATGGAATATACTGAAGACGATAAGCAGGAGTTACAGCTTTTTGTGCTATAACATTTGACTCAGCCGACGGCTTTCCGCCTATTAAGAGAGCGCTCAATGGGTAGAATCGTTAGACACTAGAAGAAGAAGAAGAATACCCCACCTTTCGGCTACCTTGCGATATAGGGTGCTGTCCGAGGATTGTTTCGAAAGCTCGATATTTTTTCTAAATCTATTACTAAATGTAGCTCTGGGCAGAAGGTCGGTCTGACTCAGAGGTTTCCTCGCTTAATTACTAAAGCTTCCCGTACATACTGACTAACCACATACTAGCCACAAGAGCTTTTTAGTTTATGTCAACGCGTAGTCAGTTTGTTATCGGATGGGTGATCCGAGACAATGCAGCCGTTATTGACTTGTCCAAGATCATTCTATGACTGATAGGGCTGAGGTTTGAACACAGTACCTTATGGGTATGTGTCAATCATCTTAACGATTCAGCCATAGCGGGTTTCATTAGGCACTAACTAATTAATATTGTTATTTTTCTGAGTTTAAATAATTACACAACATAAAATGATATACTCAATATCGAAATATGTGACAAAGTACATGTCGAACTCTTCATAATCGATAGCATTTATTTGTTAGAATTGAGTAGCCAGTATTCTCATTGAATAGATCGTGCATATTTTATATTTTCTTCATTATGTCAGATTATTTCCTGTGTATCCTCCTTGTATCCTGTATATCCCCGATGTATCCTCTGTATTCCAATCGCATCCTCTGTATCCTCCGTATCCTGTGTATCCCGACGGTATCCGAGATAGACGGAATCCGCTTTTCCCCCCTTGACTTATATTGTACCCATACATAAATCCTCGTGAAATTTTTATTCATCTTTCTATGTACTTAGGTTTAGAGAAAACAAAAATATTTGTGTTATCAGAGATGATTTTCCTTGGCTTAATATTTTTGAGATCACTGATTTACCTTTGACGATTTCGTATTCTTATTTCTTCAGTGTAAGCATCATTCACGTTATTATGCCAGGCGTTATTAGGAGAGTAAGATGAAATTTGTTCAATAGTAGATCGTAAAGATACCGATGATTTGGTTTTCATATTCTCCAAGTGGTATGTCGCTTCCAAAATACTCACTTGTTTATTAGTCATTGGAAAGGATGGCTTAAGAGTACCAGTAATATTCATACTCGCATCTATAATCAAATCTAAACTAATGCCAACTTTTTCAATGCATCGAAGCAAATTTATATTTTCTCTGAGAATTTATAGGAGATCTTTGTTGTTTGATAGGCTTACTGTTGATTGGATATTTGAATAAAAATTGAATAGTGAACAACAGAATGGTATGATCTCTTTATTTATTTTTCATCTTATACATTATGAATAAAAAAGATTTATGGCCTCGATAAAGGTAGAAACGTACTGATGTAGAAGGATGAAAAAAGATTATTATGTTTCATAAAATCTAATCAACAATGAAACTTCATATTTTTTGTAGAAAAATAAAAAGAATTATTAAACAAAAAAATACGAACGTGAAAGTGAGTGTTACATTACATAATGTAGAATGGGAAGTTCAATGTGTAAATTTCACCGTGAAAGCAAAACTGATTTGATAAAATGTGTCAGAATATCCTAAAATATTCGTTTTTATTTTATCATCTAGAAACTTGTGTTCGACAAATGATTTTGTTTACATATAAACTGTCTATGCCCTTAACAGCAGAGCTGATTTCGAATTTATAATCAGTGAAAAGAAAAAATTTTAATAACTAATTAATGAAAACTTGTATTAGTGTTATATTGAATTCTGGGCAATTAGTCACTAATCTATCAATAAATTTTGTGTTCTTCAGATAATTGATTGTACCAACAGAATAATTAAGA